AGTCACAAAAACATGCTACAATGCGAAAAGTATTAAGTAATGCTGAACGCCAAACACGATTTCGTGCTAAAAAAGGAGCATTAAGTAATAGATCATCTCAAAGTAGCTTTCATCAACCACGAACTAGTGCTGAACCTCACAGATTATACAAAGCAAATAAGAATTTTTTTTTAATATCTATATAATTTTTTTTTATATCTAAAATTTTCGTAATTTGAAGCAAAGATGAATGAATAGTTAAGTATTCCAATATGCTTCCAATTAAACATGGAACACTTTGAAAATAATGCTTAATAACCAAGTTAAAATTCGATTTTCAACTGTTAATATCTTTAAAAAATTTCAATATTTTTCTCGTATTATACCTTCAAGTGAGTCCCTATTACCCCTTAAAAGGAATGGCAATTTTGAAGCACCCTGTATATATAAGACAGTAATTTTCACATACACGATATTTGGTAAAACGTTTCTTTCATTCGGAAGACAATTGAAAAACTTTAGGTGATGATTTAACATTTAATCGAGTAACTAAACAAATTAGGCTCCGAATGCCAACAGGTTGATCACTAATTCATCATCAGTGTGCTGACGAAATTAGACGATTCCGAATACAAAAAGTTGGCGCGCCTCAAACAAATATTTATGACGTAGACCGTGACGCCTCTGGTACTAATTTCGGAATCATATTTTCGAAATGTCCACATTTGTTATACAAAACAATGCTAACAAATAGCTTTATCAAGTCACCTCTGATTGCAGTCATATTTTTTCACGGCTGCTCACATCGGAAGCCATCAATTCCATCAACACCAACGTCTCTTTACTGACTGATCACCTGGTTTTGACTTCGGCGGCTTGTATCAGTGCTGATATCATCGAGGCTTTAGGGGTGACATGTGTCATCAATGCAGCCCCTGAGTTGCCAGACATGCCTTGTGGGAGACACGTCATCTATCAAAAGGTCGCCATCAACGATTCTCCTCATTCGGATATAGCGCAGTTTTTCGACCATATAGCTGATATTATTGAAGAAGTAAGTCAATTAGGGATTGTTAACTCCAATAACACATGACATTTAATACCAGTGAGTTCCTTTTCGAAATATAAAGAATTTCTAATAGGATCTATGTATGTATATAAGGTAGTAGTCCTTCCAAGCGGACTTTTTCTTCGTGCTTTTTAAAACAAAAGGTGTACGAATCTATATGTTCTGCCATTGTCTTTGTCTATCATTGATAGTCAAAATAATATTTTTGGGGAGCCGTTGGAATTTCACAAATATTTTCGTTTGTGAAAACGATTTATAAATAAACGGAATAAAGAGAATGAATCACTTCAATCAGCGCCAAGGAGATTCGCAATGTTTCGCTCTGAAACAGCTAACACATTTTTTTATGGGGAAATAAATCAGGGTGTATTAGTATAACATCACTACACATTAGGTGTATGATTGATGACGTAAATAATTATAAATAGTAGTTATTCTATTACGATTACTTTCATTAGTTTAGCTACATCTCACGTTTTAGGTAGCTTCAATGCGTGGCCGAACACTGGTGTTCTGTGTAGCTGGGGTGAGCAGGTCAGCTTCCCTCTGCATGGCTTATCTTATGAAGCACCATCAATTGACGCTCTTAGAAGCATACAACTATGTGAAATTTCGAAGACCGCGCATCAAACCGAACTGCGGCTTCTTCCAACAGCTTATTGAGTATGAGAAAACCATGTTTATCAGCAACACGGTCACGATGGTCTTCAATGAATTCGTGCACATGAATATTCCAGACGTTTACGATAGCGAGTACAAAGTAGAAAGGAATTTGAATAGAAAATTCCGGCATAAATATACACATTAAATGAGGGAGGCAAAGTGGCTTTCCTCCCTTATCTTACGTAAAACACGTACATTTGTACATTTAGCGCCATTACACCGAGAAGAGAATGGAATTAAATTAACAGAAAAAGCCGTAGGCTAAGTGAACCCTGATGTGATTCACTCACCTTGAATGGTTATTTTATATACATATGTATAAAGCACGGGACCAAGTAATCTGTTATATTTTTTATTTTTAATAATAAATTGTTTTTTTTGGGACACAATTGATCATTGAAATACATAAATAAGCAAAAACAGGTAATGCGGTGAGAGATCGATAAAAATAAGCACGTGATTATTTGGCCGCTGGTGTATCCTGCAGCATCATACAATGTTCCTGTTATCTGATAGAATCTCACTGTTGAATGTGTACTATTTGTAAGTGCTTCCTGCAATGGTCTCGCAGTAGTTTTGGGCGTTAGTAAAACAATGCATGAATTTTTGGTTGCGGTATATAAATCATGGGCATTGGATTTACTCAGGAAGAAAATTTCTGACACGCGCTTATGTCTTCAGAATAAGACCATTAATTTGAAGTAGTTTGTCAAGCTCAATAGTTAGTGAATAGAAGTTTGTGATACTTTTGTTTGAACATATACGCCTTTGAAGTAGACTTAATAGAGATAATCGTTAAAAAAAAAACGCTTATAGGTATACGGAATGTAATATCACTTCACTTACTTTTGCTCGTGTACTAATGACCGGTCTACGAAAGTGTTTCTATACATAGATGAAAACAAGTGTGCGACGTCGTACGAATTGACAGATCTCCAACAAATAGAAACACTCGTACCATCGTATCATCGTACAAGCCATGGAACGTACACAACGGATGCAKGTGACACGGGCTTAAGCTTTGGAATCCAATGTTGCCATTAGCACTTTGACCCACAGAGAGAGTAATTGAAAATCGAGAGAGAGCCCGCAATATAAAATCTCTATTTATTATTTTTGCACATCAGAAAGCAGTATTTTCATGTTCATCAATTTTTCAGTTTAACTTTCCGAACTTATTAGTATAAATAGCTATATTAAGCCAAAGGTTTCCTTTACTTAAAATCTATTATTTTTGCTTTGTGCGTTGTTACAGATCTTTCGCTCATATCATTTTATCTAGTTCACAATAGGGATGACACGAAATACTTGTCACAGGTACTTTGGAACAGATATCGATATGGAAC